GGTTATATTCAAATAAATATCAAAAACATAAAGCTGAATTGCATCAATTGAATAATAATAGGCCTACTACGATAATAAGAAGTGAAATCTAAGAAACAAGAGATCATTAGCAACAACAATTACAAACTTTTACAGACATTCAACTACAAATCAATACAAAGAGACAATCATTACTGAAAACATTTAAAAAAAATTGATAAATTGAATTTAAAAATCCTATATCATTATATTCACAATTATGAAATTAGTAGATTCATTTACAATATGTTACACTTTAATTTACATGTACAGTACTTACAATATAATGAAAAAATGTACACAATTCCAATACTAAAATAAATATTTGTTTCTGCCCTATCCTATTGGCAATGTAAACAGCCAGATGTCTCCTTTCCGTTAAGAAAGACACACAGAAAGAAAAAAACAGGCCACCTACAACTTAAAGATAAAGATGGACGAGCTCAGTCAAAATGACAAGTACAGAAACACTAAGATGTTACATTAAGGATTTTATACCGGGTATGGAATTGGGGAAATATGGTAGAATTTTTGTTTACAGTTGTACTTTCGGTATGTATTTTAATTGCGAAGGGTCTTGCATTTAGGGGAGACCAGTCAGAGCCGTTCAGATTCAGAGGCGTGGAAAGAGCAAATCTAAAGCGTGGTTTCCATACAATTGCTACACTCTATCGCCGACAGTTTTCGGTGATGCTGATTGGTCTGTCGAATCAGGGACCCTTCCCGGTTGTGTCAGGGACTGCTACGCAGTACTGTTGAACTGAAAACACTATACAGCGACAGTGTAGCAATTTTAATGAAACCAGGCTTAAAACAGACCGATTATGCTGTCGGAAAGGCTTTCTAGATGGAGCCTTTTTCGACGGTGGTGCGAATGCATCGGCTTTAATGTGGATGTAAGTCCAAACTTATTATATTACTGACATGGATTATCGAAATTAATGTCTTGATTTATGACTTATTTACATGCACGAAGTATCCGGTAAACAGTTCAGGGTTGTAATATATTGATAAATTTGTTTTAGCTAAACCCGGAAAATGTATTCTGTTAAATATTGCAGTTTGAATTACATCCTGCTTATTTTTTTATATTTAATAAATTTTAGTTTAACCCTGCTCCTAATTTTTTGAAAACAAATGACGAAAACGAAAAAGAAAATTGCATTCAAACTTATATTTGAGAATGCTATTGTACGCTGCGGTGGTGCGAATGCATCGGCTTTGATGTGGATGTAAGTCTTATAATTTAACAAACTGATTATATTACGGTAGTATGGATTATCTTAATTAATATATCTTAAATTATGGCTTTCGTAAGCCATTATACACTATACTGTATTTGAACAATTGAATTTCTTTTTGTAACCAGTGGATTGTATCTCAGTAAGACTTATCATTTACCCTGCCCATAGCGATTGTTACAATTGCCTGAGGGTATGGTATGTATTCATTGCTCGGTTTGCGGACAAAGTATACAAATATCTTACATAACGCTATTCGATACATTTCAATACTAAACTGCATTTTGTGTATTAAAAATTCTTAATTTAATTTTTTGAAAATACAAGAACAAAACTGTTAATTGACTATAGGCGTATGCGTAGGCCTAGGGTCTATCATTAGGGTCTACAGAAAACAAAGCTTGTCAATGTACAAATTAAGCCCGTGTAAACATATTCTCGCTTTGTATTCTGAGCAATTGACTTTCGCACACTGTCCTTCCTTTCATGATCAATTCATAATTAATATTCTATTTTGTTTAACATAAATTGGTTAGATAACACTGAACTTACGATTACAATTTCTGTTTACGATTATAATTTATTGAAGCCATTTACTAGGATGTCTCAGTTGTCTCAATGAAAATATAATTCTTGTTCGCAAACAACATTTCAAGTTGCTGAAAATAATCATTATGATTAGAATTATCGATCTTATATAAGACATATATAGGTTCTATCCTCTGTAAGTTTTACCTTAAACAAATATTAGAGTGTAGGCATAGTCTGTTGCAGCTAGCCTGTTCTTTACATTGCTACAAAACAATTATCACGAGGTAATTTTTCCCGAGGGAGTGTAAGTTAATATCTTTCAACACCAATAATATTATTTAGCCTTCCATAACCAACTTCGGCAACCATTACCACACAGTGATTCGACTAGAGAACATTATAGACTCACAAAAATTGAAACTATTTTTTTATCAAATTTGTTATTGACCCTCGAGTTGGTTTGTTTATAATGTCTTTTGGAGTCATACCGCTAATTTGGTTTGCGACAATGGTTGCCGTGCGACCAACTGATGCATCCTTTGATTATCTTAGTTGGAACAACATGAAAATCGAAGAAAACCGAGCATTGCTCGGTAATATCTTCCAAACTTTAATTGAAATACGATCACGCATCGAATGTCAGAGTTTCTGTGCTCAAACCAACGAATGCAAGTCCTACAACTACGCCAATAGCCTGAAGGTTTGCCAACTCAACAATGTCACCAAGGAGGACACAAATGCTGCTAACTTTCAGGAAACTGGCGACTACATATATGCAACTTTGAAGCATGATAATGTGTGCACGGTAAACCATTTTGCTGTTATCTCCAGTATACAATTTACATTTACTGTATTAAATGTAGTTAAATGTAGGCCTAATTAGTTTTGTCGTAGAATTTGTAACTATTAACAGTTTCGGAAACCACACGTACTAAATGTATTACCAAATGCTATTGATTCGCTCTCTTGCACCGTTGAGAGTATAGTTATCTTCAAAATAGTTGACTCTCACAAACTATATAACATTTTTATTAACAGTTTTTTCGGGTTCTTTGCACAATCAACTAATAATGTAATTTAACATCCTAATTTTTCTACAATGTAAATTTTATTGTATATAATGTATTTTATTTGTTATTTCTTATGTGTTAACTTGCATGTATTTTATTAACTTTTCTGTATTTTTATATTGATGGTTTTTTTTTGTTTTTTGTTTTTTTTTTATACTGTAATTGTATAATTTTTGAGCAATGACTTTCTCTCAATGTAATTTCCTTTTTGGACAATAAATTTGAATTTGAATTTGAATTTGAATTAAACTATATAAATAAAATAACGTCGATTTATTTCCTCTTTCAACTGAATTGTAATCTAGAGTAAAGACTGCTGTTTAGATCCCACAACAAACAAATCTAAGGACAAGTATTGTTACAGTAAGTATAGTCGTTGATAATAGTTTTTTTGTGTTTTTTTTTGTGTCCGGTAGGCTCCATAGTACAGATCCCACAACAGACAAATCTAAGGACACGTATTGTTACATTATATTCCCAGGTGGACAGCGGGCGGCGAGAGGGCAGTTAATGAGAACCGAATTCATTATTATTATATTTATAAACGCTTAACAATAAAAAAAAAAAAAGATCAACTTAATTTAAAATATATACATCCACCAGAAGAACAGTATTATTTAAGTATCCTTAAATCAGTGAGAAAATTATTTTATCATTTTGATTTTTATTTGAGAGCTATAACAACTTACTTAATTATGCACGAAGTACCCGGTAAGCAATTCAGGTAGGCCTATTTATGGCATATTGTTACATTTGTTTTAGTAAACCTGGAAAGTGTATCCGTCAAATATTGTAGCGTTATTGCAATGTGAATTATATTTTTCCTATTTTTAATATTTCATAAATTTTAACTTAGCCATACTCCTAAAATTTTGAAAACAAAAATGGCAAAAAAGAAACAAAAATGCATTCAAACTTAGATTGAGAATGCCATTGTACACCAGCTACGGTGGGGCTGTGTTTGTCTTGGCTTTATATTTGTGCAAATCACACCCGGGCCAAGTCTGCTTGATATTATTTTCTATTGAGAATAATGGACACAACTAAAATGATCTTTATTTTATGCAGTTGAAATTGAACTGGAAAAGGAGGACGCATCAAGCTCTTCAGTGTCAGTAAGAGTTATTGTGACAGCAGGACGTGCCAACCAGATTAACACCACGTGTTCAGAAGGTGATCCATCTCCAACTCCTGATGTTGTGGATTTCTCTGAAAATGTGGTGGTTTCTTGTGATGGAGTCCGATCAAGCAGGAATGTGACAGTCAGTGTGTCCGTGGCGTATCTTGACACGATCTCGGTCACCAACTCAGTGACTATTAAATCAAGTAAGAAAGCCGTATTAACGATACATTTTTCAGATAAATAAAATAACCTTTAAAATATAATGATAATATTAAGAATAATAGTAATAAAGATAATGTTAACGGTAAGGATAAAAATATCATTAATGGTAATAGGAGGATGGTGAAATTATAATATTAATAATGATGATAATGATGATAATAATAATAAAAATAATAAATTTGATAATAATTACACTACCAAACAAAAAATAATAAATTTGATAATAATTACACTACCAAACAAAAATAATAATAATAATAATAATAATAATAATAATAATAATAATAATAATAATATATTATTATTATTATTATTATTATTATTATTATTATTATTATTATTATTATTTTATTTATTTAATTTATTTCATCAAAGTCCAACAGTGACAAAGTCACACTTTTAACTCTTTACCATTCATCATTATTAATAGCGTCAGTAGCTTTTCAATGTTTCAACATCATGTATCAAATGTAAATTTCGATAATTTATTGTAAATTAGAAACAAGTCCGCCAACATTAGAAGAACAGTTTACAAACAAGACTGCTGCAGTCGCCCACTGGTTTCTTTCTCCAGACGAATTTGCAGATGATTTCATTGTGAATTGCTCAAAAGGATTATGGACTGTACTAGAAAAGAATAACTTTCAAGGAAGAGTCATGTGTCATGATCTTGAGCCAGGCTCAACCGTCAACATTTCTGTCACTCCTGTATATGATTCTGAGCCCGGAGAGCATGCTAGCCTCAACATACACTTAGGTAGGCACTTTAGGTAGGGAAAATACAGTACCATACAGCGTTTTGTCGAGAGTTAATATTGCTGCTTGTTGGGCTGAAGAAGATTCAATTCTGGAGTCTGATGGAATTGACAGAATAAGGGACACCGTACAGTAATCCTATTTATAACATGGTAACATGTTGGCACTTGCGCTGCAATATGGTCGTCGCGGGTCCAGCAAACATTTTTTCTAACTTTGGAATAATGACAAAAAAAGAACCAGAATTTTTTTAATAACTAATGGCAATGAGAGCCTATATATAGCCCGTATTATTTAGTAAAAGCCCTATTTAAAAGTACACAGTATTTTCTTAATGATTAGTGAGGATATAATAAGTTTTGTTGGCTAACAATGATAATGAATGACCATATATTGTTTTGACGATAAAGGTTTATTGTCTCCTGAAAATGACAAAAAATCATTAAAACATACAAAAAATTTATTAAATTTTAGAAAATGTGTACCCTGCTTTAAAAAAATATGTAAGGAAACGCTTCCAGTGATTTGAAGTGTTTTTTTAAAATCATTTTTCGCTGTAAAATTATGGGTAAACATTTGTTAAATACACAAATTTCTATTACTTCAAAACGAGCAAGTGTTTTTTATGGTTTTTGGGGTATCTTTAATGAGTGGCGTATTATACCGTGTATCATATCCAGCAGCATTACAATACCTAACAAATGACTGCATCACCAGGCCCATATACAGTGGGGGGGTTTATGGTTCGGGAGAAACCCCCTTTTCTAGCAAATCCCCCTCTTTTCTGACGAAACCCCCTCTTTAAATTTCCCAAATAAGTCCTCTAACCCAACTAATGCACTGCAGACCCACCCAGACACAGACATTTTCAAACATATCTGCTTTTATAGCATTATTTAGACCCATAAAGCACAAAACTCCTCTTGCTTTGGTGGTTTCGCCGACCCCACCGGGGCTTCGACTGTGGACCTCACGCCCAGAAACCTCCCCCCCCCCACTCGGAAGAACCTGGCTACGGGGCTGATTACGATGTTATTTTGTATCATTACTAGAGCCTGACGTTGTCGAGTTCACAAGTCAGACATCTTCATTGGTTTCGATATCTGTCGAATGGGAAATTAGATCTGGGATTGCTTCAGAATTCGTCGTTAATTGTTCAAGTGGAGTTCCAGTTTCATCTGTCGTAGACGCAGCCGATGGCTCTGGTATCATGGACTGCTCTGGTTTAACACCAGGGGTACAGGTAGAAGTAACGGTGGTTGCTGTCGTGAACTCCAAGCAGAGTTTACCAGCATCAGAGATTGTTTCAACAGGTACGGTAGGGGATTATGCTGAAAGCCAAGTTAAAAAAAAATAATTAGCTTTCCCTGACCTCTTCTGCTGCCGTAACGATGTCCAGCAATCACTGCAATATCTCTTTTTTGCGTTAGATTGCATTATTACTAATAGTCTCAAAGTTTATATTCATCTATTTTGGTCTATGTGCCAAAAATGAACCTGCTCGTTTTGCTTTGTTTTTTCAAAATGTTTGGACTAGAAACTATTTTTACTTGAACTAACTTGTAAATGTACCGGTAATCGGCCATCATACAAGTTATAATACAGTCAATGTAGATATAAATTTAAAATATACGTTACATCAACCAATTAAGGACTAGAGCGCTGAGGATGCTTATATTTCCAACAAGCATCTGGAATTGAAATAATGATAACGCCAACGCATTATGAAACTTACGTATAAGTTATCAAATACCATTACCAATAAATGCGATTTAATCGGGTCGAGTGGCAGTAGTTAAGATAGAGGTTCCGTTACCTATAATTCAAAACATCGGCACTGGTTTGAATGGAATACTCTATTTAGACTCTTGCTGTGGAAAAAGTATTTCGAATTATGAGTATACCGTCCCGTAGTTTAATATTATATGGTGTATTACAGATGGCACTGTTAATATAACACTGATCGAAGATGTTGCAACCAATACAACAACCATAGTCTCCAAGATGACGTCAAATGCGCCACCAACTAGTGTGTATAAAGTGCTTTGTTCAGCAGGAGATCCGTTTCCTACAGAGTTTAAGGATGCTGAAACGACGACCGTATATTGTATTGGTGTAGATGCTGGACAAAGTGCTAATTTGAGTGTTGAAGCATTTTATGGTAACTGGTCTGTAGGATCTGTGTGGATATCTATTTCAACCGGTATGTTTAGGTTTTAAATAATACTGCCAAAATATTCTATATGAGTACAATATTACAATGTTGTAATTTCAGCAAGGATTTATCACTGCAGTTAAAATCCTTGATTTTGCTGTTTCCTAGCAACAAGGTGGATATACACGTAGGCTAGTGTTAAAGTATAAGTACCACATTAACACCTATACAAGGTGTGTGTGTGTGCGCGTGTGTGGGTGGGGTGTTGCTTTCACTGCAATGGTCTTTGCACTCTGGGGAGCAAACGAATTTGAAGTCCGCATTAGTAGGCCACAAACCAATTTGCTCTTTGTTCTTAAAAACGATTTATTTGACCGAGGTCTTTTGTTAGAAAATTATAATAATTAAGTTCATCTCAGAGTGTTCAAATCGAAACCTATGGATCAATTTATACTAGAAAGTCAACTATATTGATTTACATTATATGCTACCATTTGTTTCCAATCGTACCTATTGTGTAATAGAGTGTGTCTGACGGTTATTTGAATTTGTTCAACTATAAAGCCTCTGTGGTCTAATGTCATCATAAGTAATGAAACAATTTTTTTTTATTAAAAACCCTGATTTTGCTTGTAAGTTTCGTTACAACAGTGTTCGTTTTGAAGGGCAGGTCCATTTCTTTTCATAATATATTTCATGTACTGTTTGTACATATACAAAATCTAATCGCATTATTTTAGAGTTCTCATGAGTACCAGCCGACCATAAATGGTCATTAAACATAGATAGGTATACTATTTCCCAATTATAATAACACGTTCTCTTATTCGCAGTACCGGAAAAGGTTGTCTTTGAGCCTATAAGCGATTACACTATATATAAAGAGATGCTTGGTGAAACACCATTCGCTGCGACTACTTGGAATTTGACATCAGGAATTGCCGATTCTTTCCTAATCACATGTTCGGATGGTCAACCGCTTGAAGATGACATCTTACAAAATGTATTACGCATTGGAATCTGTAGTTTACCCTCAAATACTACATTAAAATCAATCAACATCACCGTCGAAGCTAAACGTGGGGATAAAATTGGAAGGCCAGCAGCCATTACTGTATCAGTTATCAAAAATGATGTCACGACTTCCACAGGTAAAATTAGTGAGGCTTCGGACTGGACAACAGAAGCTTCGAACGGGTCAACAGCATCAGAGGTCGTTCCAACAGGTACGGTAGGGTATTATTATGCTGAAAGCCAAGTTAAAAATAATAAGGCTTCTTATTCCTGACTGTCTTCTGCTGCCGTCCCAGTGTCCAGCAAACATTGCATTATTTTTCTTTTTGCATTAGATAGCATATTACTAATAGTCTCAATGTTCATATTCATTTCTTTTAGTCTATGTTGTACAAGATTTAATCTGAAAAAAAAGTTAGTTCGAGAAACTATTTTTATTTGACCTAAATGTAATTGGCCATTATAAATTTGACGTATAATACGATCAATGTAGATATAATGTTAAATACACGCTGCATAAACCAATCAAGGACTAGAGAGCTTAGGATGTTTATATTCCCATCAGGCACCTGGACTTGAAGTTAATGATAACGTCAGCGCATTATGAACCTTATGTATAAGCTATCAGAGATATTTGTACAATCCAATAATACTATTTAATCGGGTCGAGTGGTCGAGTTGTTAAGCAGGGGTGCCGTTGTAACCATATAGTCAAAACATCGGCACTGGTTTTGAACAGTATACTCGATCTAGGCTCTTGTGGGGAGAAAGTGTTTCGAATTAGGACTATAAAACAGTAGCCTCAGTGTACACAGATTCTATCGTATTTTTTTCCGAGGAGAGCAGGGCTGTATTTGAGATGGTGGGATCCATAGGTGAATAGCAAGCATGAATGAGTTTTTGCCCTGAGCTCGGAGAAGACGCGCTATATACCGACACATTACATTTTTATTATCAATGTAGACATAAAGCCTATAGCCTTATTGTAGTTTAACATTATATGGTGTATTACAGGTGATCCTGTTAATATAACACTGATCGAAGATGTTGCAACGAATACAACAACCATAGTCGCCAAGATGACGTCAAATGCGCCACCAACTAGTGTGTATACAGTGCTTTGTTCAGCAGGAGATCCGTTTCCTACAGAGTTTGAGGCTGCTGAAACGACGACCGTATATTGTATTGGTATAGAAGCTGGACAAAGTGCTAATTTGAGTGTTGAAGCGTTTTATGGTAACTGGTCTGTAGGATCTACGTGGATATCTATTTCAACCGGTATGTTTAGATTTTCCATATGAGTACAATATTACAATGTTGTAATTCCAGCAAGGACTTTTAACTGCAGTTAAAAATCCTTGATTTTGCTGTCTCTTAGCAAGATGGATATACACGTACTGTTAAACTATAAGTACGTACTATATATGCACCTATACAAGATTATATATATATATATATATATATATATTCTTGTATAGCACCTGAGGAAGGACACAGGCGTGTCAGAAATATTTGTGTTGAATAAATTGTATGTCTCTATATGATGTCAGCATATGCAATCGTTTTATTTTCGTTTGCGTTTATTCTTATATATTTCTGTGAGACATACGTGGATCCTACTACATCAGATACTATTATATATATTTATATATATGTTTTTGGCCTCAGTACGGACTCTAAACGTATGCATTTTCTTTTAGTTTTAAGGCGTATGCGGATTTTATAAGTCCGCAATGACGATATAACGTGTTTATATATATATATATACTTCATGTACCGTTTGTACATATACAAAATCTAATCGCATTGTTTCAAAGGGCCCATGAGTATCAGCCGACTATAATGATCACTAAACATAGATATAGTATTACCAAATTATAATAAAACTTTCTGTGATTCGCAGTACCGGAAAAGGTTGTCTTTGAGCCTATAAGCGATTACACTATATATAAAGAGATGCTTGGTGAAACACCATTCGCTGCGACTACTTGGAATTTGACATCAGGAATTGCCGATTCTTTCCTAATCACATGTTCGGATGGTCAACCGCTTGAAGATAACATTTTACAAAATGTATTACGCATTGGAATCTGTAGTTTACCCTCAAATACTACATTAAAATCAATCAACATCACCGTCGAAGCTAAACGTGGGGATAAAATTGGAAGGCCAGCAGCCATTACTGTATCAGTTATCAAAAATGATGTCACGACTTCCACTGGTGAAATTAGTGAGGCTTCGGACTGGACAACAGAAGCTTCGAACGGGTCAACAACATCAGAGGTCGTTCCAACAGGTACGGTAGGGTATTATTATGCTGAAGGCCAAGTTAAAAATAAATAAGCTTCTTATTTCTGGCTGCGTCTTCTGCTGCCGTCCCTGAGTGTCTAAACATGGCAATATTTTTCTTTTTGTGTTAGAGAACATATTACTATTAGTCTCAATGTTCATATTCATGTCTTTTGGTCTATGTTGTACAAGATTTAATCTGAAAAAAAGTTAGTTCGAGAAAACTATTTTTACTTGACCTAAATGTAATTGGCTATTATAACACTTTGACATATAATACAGTCAATGTAGATAACCTTTTAATTACTCGCTGCATAAACCAATCAAGGACTAGAGAGCCGAGGATTTTTATATTTCCATCAGGCATCTGGACGTCAGCGCATTATGAACCTTATAAATAAGCTGTCGGAAATGTTTATACAATGCCAATAAATACTATTTAATAGGGTCGAGTGGCCGAGTTGTTAAGCAGGGGTGCCGTCATTTTATAGTCAAAACGGCACTGGATTTGAACGGTATACTCGATCTAGGCTCTTAATTGTGGTCGAGCAAGTGTTTCGAAATAGGACTATAAAAGACGTAGCCCCAGTGTACACAAATTCTATCGTATTTTTTTAGAAGAGCAAGGCTGCATTTGAGATGGTGCGGGGATCCATAGGTGAATAGCAAGCATGAATGAGTTTTTGCCCTGAGCTCAGAGAAGACGCGCTATATACCGACACATTAGTATTACATTTTTATTATCAATGTAGACATAAAGCCTATAGCCTTATTGTAGTTTATATGGTGTATTACAGATGATCCTGTTAATATAACACTGATCGAAGATGTTGCAACGAATACAACAACCATAGTCGCCAAGATGACGTCAAATGCGCCACCAACTAGTGTGTATACAGTGCTTTGTTCAGCAGGAGATCCGTTCCCTAAAGAGTTTGAGGGCACTGAAACGACGACCGTATATTGTATTGGTGTAGAAGCTGGACAAAGTGCTAATTTGAGTGTTGAAGCATTTTATGGTAACTGGTCTGTAGGATCTACGTTTATATCTATTTCAACCGGTATGTTTAGATTTTAAATAATACTGCCAAATACTTTATATGAATACAATATTTTAAAGTTGTAATTTCAGAAGGACTTTTAACTGAAGTTGAAAATACTTGATTTTGCTGCCTTTTAGCAAGATAGATATACACTTAGTGTTAAAGTATGAGTACGTACTATAACATCTATAAAAGAGTATGTATATATATATATATATATATATACATATATATATATCGTCAATTTTCAACAGCGGTGTTCCAACAGTATAGAGATAAATAATGAAAAGAAATTTTTCTTGTAACTCTCATTACAACAGTGTTCATTTCCAGGTACAGATTCCAGAGTCCAGGTTTTTTTTTTTCATAAAATATTTTATGTACCGTTTGTACATATACACAATCTAATCGCATTATTTCAGATGGCCCGTAAGTACAAGTCGACTATAATGATCATTAAACATAGATATAGTATTACCAAATTATTATCTTATAACTATAATATTACCAAATTATTCTTATACATTTCTGTTATTCGCAGTACCGGAAGAAGTTTTATTTGAGCCTATAAGCGATTACACTATATATAAAGAAATGCTTGGTGAAACACCTTTCGCTGCGACTACTTGGAATTTGAATTCAGGAATTGCTGATTCTTTCCTAATCACGTGTTCGGATGGTCAACCTCTTGAAGATGATATCTTACAAAATATATTACGCATTGGAATCTGTAGTTTACCCTCAAACACTACATTACAATCAATCAACATCACCGTGGAAGCTATACGTGGGGATAAAATTGGAAGGCCAGCAACCGTTACTGTATCAGTTATCAAAAATGATGTAACGACTTCCACAGGTGAAATTAGTGATGACGAATATTCAATGTCATTTGGATAGAATAACAAAAAAGAAGAGATGGTAATAAAATCAATTAAATCAACGGAGCATATGTATGGTATGAGGGCCGATGTCAAGTAATTTTTTGATGAAATTATTATGTTCAACACGACCGAATGCAGTAACAAAGTCGATTATGCATACATTTTACATATGTTCTATCTTTAAGAATTGAATCTAATAGGCTAACTAAGTGATATGTTGTTGAAGATGCTATTCGGGAACCAAATTGTTTATTATAAAGTTTAGAGTTAATGTCTTGGGTTATCAAATTTACAATGAAAGTCTCAAATATGCGTGCAAAAACTGGGGTTAATGATATCGGTCGTAATTCTTCACACTTTGTATCTTTCCTTACTTTAGTAGCTGCAATTACAGTGGCTGTTTTCAAAATGTCGAGGAAGGCTCCTTCGGCTGAACATGTATTAAATATATTTGTAAGTGGTGGTGCAATTTCAAAGGCAAACTCCTTAATTAACTTAGCAGGAAAAATCGTCTGGGTTACTAGCTTTCGAGACGTCAAGTCGCTCTAATAGACGTTGTGCTTAGCGCCTGTATATATTACTGGTGGGGAGGGGTGGGGGGGGCAAGTAAGTACGTACGTAGGGCGTTTCTTGATCTTTAATGGTTGAAGCCAGTACATACTTTACCAAAATGATCATTAATTAGTTCCGCTGCGTTTTGGTCACTAATCTCAGGCACAGACAATCTCATCTTCGGTTTAAAATTTCAGATGGTTTTGATGTTCGATTCATGCAATTTAGCAGAATTATCTAGTTTCAAGCTAATGTATTGTATTCGGTTTATGTTTCATTTCATCATGAATGTTACACAATTTGTAGTCGAAGACGCAAACATGCACATCTAGCTCTCACGACCAAAAACAACTCCATCCCATAAGTACCGTATCAAGACTTACCATAGGTCATTTGACAGTTAAACAGACAAGTACGGGCACCACACACAGTGGAGTTAAATAGCTTAGTGGTTAAGATGCTTGCTTTCTTATCATATGGTCCTGGGTTCAATTCCTTTGATTGCAGGGCATTTTCTTACACACTTAAACAACTCCACTTCTATCCTAAACCTCTTAAAAGGAGACTTGGTTTATAAAGCATCACCCATCCTGTAACTGACGAGTTCCTTGCTGTTGCATGGGAATTAAATAAAAAGAAATGTGCATGTATGTGTTGTCGTTGTTTAACATTTTCACTTTTATTTTGAATAATTTTACATATAGTTAATCTGAATTTTTTTTTATATACAAATATGTTAACTTTTTCTATATGGGTCACATTTCTTTTGTCTGAACGAGCACTCTGTTAATTTTATTTAGTGGCGTATTTAGAGGAGGGCGCTCTTCTAAACCAATCCCCCCCCCCCACAATCGCCTCCATCAACCATTGAAATGTGCGAAGCAAATTATTCAAGCTCAAGCAGATAAAAATCACCTCTAACCACTTTATTTTGCGAGCTAGCGCCCCTCAATTAATCATCAAGCCTCCCCATCCCAACTTTACCTTTTCCCCATATTCACCACCCCATCTGTATCAGTCACTGATATTATATTATTTATTCGTCGTAAAAAAACCAGTTAGAATAACAATGCAAACATGGTTAAAAAAACGAGCACATCTAAAGTCCCGCGATGGAATGGGCGACCAGGACCCAAAAAAGGGCCCCCAGTTTCAGAAAGTCACATGGCCCCGGTCTAATCGTTACGCCACTGACAATATTCCACATTGATTAACTTCTTCTTGGTCTAATAGTGATAACTACACTTGTTTCCAAGATTGGGTTACTCAAATAACTGTGTTGGAAGCCATTAAGAAATCAATTGTACATAACTTTGTTTGATGTAGGACAATCAATAAACTAGAAAGTAAATTTACTTTATTCCTTTGGTCTTTCAAAAATCTATACATTTAATAAGGTTAATATTTCATAAAAGCTAAATACATGACCAGTTTAATTGTATCTCACTTGTGAGCTTACTCTAATTCAAATTTAGGCGATCCTTTTGAGAACATGTTTTTCCGAAAAGTTCTATTGGTCGTGGCAATATGTCGAGTACCTTCTCTGTATGCTGTATCAGACAACTGCGAGTTCTTCACCCATATGTTAAAAAATAACGAAAAACGACTGGAAAACCAGGCCGTCGAGGTGATAAACGGAATTCGTTCCTTGACTGAATGTTGGGGACGTTGCATTCGTAGATATGACTGCAAGTCGTTCAATTACGCAGAAACATTGTCTGTATGTGAGTTGAATTCCAATTTCGTGGGTTTTGGAGCACCTACCTTGACAAACGATACTAAGTATGTATATATTACAACTGTTGACGCAGCATCATGCGAGGTAGGACAATTTATGTAATTGGTTAGTATTTTTGTACATTTCGCTAGGTAATTTTTAGGTTGTTCGTATGTTAGGTAGTGATCCTCCTCTTCATGGCAAGTAGCCTAACACGAGCTACAAACCACTTATTTAGCTTCCCAACATGTACCAAAAACAAGTTAAATTTCAGAATTTTGTACTGGGACTGTCTCTTGGAGCCCCATTCTCTCATTGGCTTCGCCTAAAACATTTTCGACTACTTTTATGTCATAATAATGCTATAGTAATCGCTTTTTTACTTTCTACATATAAATGAAATGTATAATAACAATGCATTTACAGGTTCAACAATTCTAATATTTCATTTCAAAACATTTGCGACATCATATTCCCATATTTCCTTTAAAGACTAGGCCCTTCATTTTGTAACTTTGTAACCAGAAAGCTTGGCGGCCAAGATATGTAAATTTATGTTTTCTTGTAGCTATCCTCAAACGCCAGCTCGATGGAGTGTTGCTCAGATGATACGGGGAGCTACAACCTGGAACAGCGGTCGTGTCCTGCGTCTTCTTCAAAATGGTGTACTTGCGTAAGCGGATTCACTGGCCCTAAATGCTCTTTATGTAGGTTCACAAGTTCACATAATCAATAATATAATACATTGAAGTGCTATCCATATATATGAAAGACGAATACTTCAGGCGAACCTGTGTCTTTTAGCGTTAGTCATATATATAATAAATTATCATATATATATATATATATATATATATATATATATATATATATTATACACATCTAGATGTGTATAAGAGACAGGAATATATATATATAGGCCTATATAGGCATGCTTGCTATGTATGTTTCGGATTATATGAAGAAACATGTTTTACAATGAACGTCATTTAGCACAGTTGACGTTTAATGAAACATTATTATACTACTCATGAATACATTTTGGTCCCACCTGCAAGCATCCTCACACATTAAGTTTTATCGCTTAACCCACAGCTCATAGTTTTAGTGGTACAGCAGTCAGTTGCCAGCAATACCAAGAAGCTGGCCATAACGTCAGCGGCGTCATGCAAATTGACCCTATTGGAAATAATACGTCCAATGTCATTTGTGATATGACCACCGATGGAGGAGGCTGGACGGTCATTCTCCGAAGATCAGATGGTTCTCGACTTTTTAATAACACATGGGATGAATACGTAAGTGGATTTGGTTCAGTGAATGATGAGTATTGGCTAGGATTGGAGAATATTTATCAACTAACTGCCCCATCAATTGATGGAAATCTTCGCGTAGAATTAAGTGATGCTTCTGGGAACAAGTTCTACGCAACATACTCATTCGGAATTCTGGAAAACACCCAGTAAGTAAACCAAAACATATTATTATGGTTACTGTAATAATGTAAAACACTGCAATGTTTTAACGTATATCTTCTTGCTTGTCGATCTGGTACTGATGCTGTGCACTTATGATGCAGTTGAGAAACGAAATCAAAGTCAATGAATCTTCGAGGATAAATACACAATACCCCAGCAAAGCCTAAAGCAACGAAATGAAATTCAGTATAACGAAGTGAAATTCAGTATAACAAAACAATAACAACAACAAAAACGTCAGATAAATAAACAGAAAAAACAAGATTCGTAAAATGAGTAAAAAAAGAAAAAAAAAATTGATTCATTTTTTTATTCAATATTTTGTCCTTTGGATATAGTAAAGTTTGTGCCTCTTAGTTTAGTTGGGAGATTATTCGGAATTCTAGCAACGCAGCAAGTAAACTGCGCAACCGTTCTGAGATTGTGGCATCCCGGTATGTCACTGTAGATTTGGCTCGGTAAGGGGCCATTTAGTAAAGAAATGTACTGCGTTGTGAAGGATTGTAATCTTGAGTGCTTCAGGCCTAGTTGGCAGAATTAATAATAATTTGAAGGTCCTGCTTGTTCGATTCCTGCAGCAATCCCCTTTTGACGCTGACTTATTTACTAATAGGCTTATTATAGTCTCATAGTTCACATAATATTATCAACTAAGAATATAAAGGCCACAGACCATCTGCAGACTTTCTGTATATGAAATAAAAGATTATAAAACCACACCCCTCTTTCTTAATGAGGACAAGAGCATTAAAACCCTTCAATTTATTCTTAAAACAGCTATGAAGCAAGGTTTACGTACATCGATGGTGATGCAGTTGACAGCCTTTCCTACCATGACAACATGCAATTCATCACGCGTGATCTAATCAGCGTCAGCACTTGCGTTGGTGACGAATATGAGATAGAAGAAACGAGCTATCAACCAAATGAAACCAATTCTGAGATGAGTGAAGCAGTTATTGACGGGATAAGTTGCAGTGAGTACGCTGGTGGAACCGGATGGTGGTTTAAGTCTGGGTTGGTGAAATGTACCGATTGCTTCAGATCTAACTTGAATGCACCCCATGGCAGCCTGGTATGGGGATCACTTGAGAACTTAAAACAAGTAGAGATTAAGTATCGCAAATAGAATATCTTGGTCTATACAAGTGGTGTTTAACTGACTATTCATGAGTGTTTAATATTGCCATAATTCCAAATTTTTCCGAACCCCTTTTGTGCCTTAGAAAAATCAATTATGCAACATATCAAACGAATTTTCGTCCAGAGCCTGACTTTAAAATAAACATGACCATAGACACATAGTTCATGGGAATTGATCGCATTATCCTCCAAAACTCTTTCACTTATTTGATTCACTTGTGAACGATGTTTAAGCATAAGGGAATGAGGATGATACTTGTATTAGCAACCAGTAACACTTAGTCAAGGATGGCTTTCGTCATTCATAACATAATCTCATCAAACTTGATCGCCATTCGTCAATTGTAGTCTGGGTGTTTTTTATCATCCTCATAACTTCCCCAGCAAACAAAACAATAATCTAATGCACCTGAAACCGACTTATAAAATGGTGTCAGGAATCTACCCCAGACATTAAATGAATTGCACTTTCTCGGATACAATATTCTAAATAAGATTATTTATCCAAATATTCATGTGACATTGTATTATTTCATTTGTTTTCTAATTTGTATCAGACAAGAGCTAAACTGACAGCTGATATTGAAAATTGTAAGTAATAAAAACATAAATATAAAAAGTACTATATAAAACAGTGTCAATTGGCTTAGAGTGTTTATCAATGTGCAGCTTATAACATTTTAGAAGACTCTGAAGAAGGTGATTCAGCATTACTAATTTTTGTATAGACTTTTTTTTATTTGCACTTGAATAAAGTTCAGAAATAGAGCGCCCTCGTACTCAATCAAAACATCCGCCCACACAATGATCCCGGTAGACGAAAAAGTAACTGTTCAGAATGTGAAGTGATATCTGCGCGTGTTTCTATTAGACGTATCAGAGAGACAGAGTATGATTGATGGATTAGTCTGAATGCTGCACGTGAAATCGGCATGAGTCTGATACGACACTGCATTACTTTCTTTCACTGCCTAATACTTTGTCATTGTTTGAAGCGTCCACATATTATTTTGTTCATTGCCGATGATTACGGGTATAGCGACATTGGATATCATGGATCGCACATAAAAACTCCACATCTAGATAGATTGGCGTTATCTGGAGTAAGGCTAAATAATTACTACGTGCAGCCAATTTGCTCGCCTACGAGAGCACAACTTATGACCGGCAAATACTCAGTAAGTTTATCTGTATCTTTTCTCATTAATTGCGCTGATCGTCTTCTTATAATTATGTCTGGCTTAGAATGTGATTTAATGAATTCATATATCTCATATATACTTATGTTGATAGGTTTCGTAATGTATGTTAGTCATCAAAAAAATAATATAGCAAGCGTGGAAAATGTTCCCAGCTTAATACATGGTAGGATGTTACAAATGGTAAATGTTGGTCATTTTTGCATTCATCTGCAACAACCTGTTGGTAAATGGAAATTAAATATTTTTTTTTTAATTAAAGACATGAAGGAGGAAAATGAAAATGTCTGGAATATAAATACCGTTTATAGACTAAGACCAAATATATGCCGAATGTAAAAACAAAAACAAAAACAAAAAACAAAGAAGTATATTAAAACTAACATGGCCAGACGACGCACAAGAACACATTACATATTTACAATTTAGACAAGCATATAACAACATAGAGCTAGCAGTCTAGTCGCCGACGGAGGCAGGATGTATTCAGCTACATCTCTCCACCTACCCCCATCAGACAGGCCAAGCATCCCCGTTTGCGAGACCTGTGGTAAAAAAAAACCGTATTTCGCGTTTGGAGGCTTAAGCCCCAGCCCCACCCACCAGGACTTCGCTGGTCTCTACGAACAGTTATGTATTATACCATTTTGAAGCTCTGACCAGATTATCAATTATTCTTTGACAAAAAAAAAACTGTTATATGCCCATATATAGTCATGGTGTGCCTATATATGGCCTTGATGTGATGTCATCATTGAATTCTGTATTCTTTATTGCAATATACACAATTTAAGTTAAACAATAACCAATCAATAAGCCTCAACTCAAGAAAAGTACAGAAAGAATAACACGACATTCAGAATTTAAAAATAAAAAGGAGCACAGTTTACAATATAATATACAAATTATGAAATTGTAACCAAAAAAAATCAGATTCAGTAAGAAATATTGTATTTTTTTCTAAATCATTATATATATGAATATACCATGTAAAATCATGACCATATTTAGGCATGCCACGTGTTTTGCCAAATAAAATTTGACAGCCTGGAACCAGCGCTTTATGCGATATAAAGCTCTTTGCAAGAGGGTATATCCTGCATGGGTGAGCGACTAGATCCTGGTGTAAGTACCGTATACAAAAGTACAGAAGTATAGTTCTACTTAGTGTAAGCCGATCAAGGTAAGCATGATAAGTACATAATGCGTGTCATATAAAAATAAATGGATGACCGCTATAGCTTTTAAAACATTATTTGTTTCTATTGGGATTTAAAACCAAGACCACATAGAAGTCACAAATTTAAATTTAAGCTCATACTGTAGTTAACAACTTTTTGAGTTAAGCTACTGGCTTTCCTTTTTTTTGCATTCCTGGTTAATTTGCTTTTCTTTATATGATTTGTTTTTGTATTGGTTGTTACTTTTGTATCTTTGTTGTTATTGTTGTTAGACCGCACCACAAGAGTTGTGTGTGTCACCGTTCTAAAGGTGAAGTGTCAATAAATAAATAAATAATAAATAAACGCTCGTAGCTCGTATCCCAAGAAATTCGATACTGTATTTACAAATTTTGATTTAGAAGACGGTATAAAATACCTGTAAAACTTCTACATCGCAGGTCAATAGTCGGTTGTTTCTAAATATGTTTTGGAAATTGTCACGTCTGATTCAATACAAAATGAAATCCTTATGGATTACGAACAGATTAGGTGCGTAAAAGTATTCACGTTTGTGAATGTCGGATACTGTACTATAGTGAAAATGTCAAAAGTGAAAACGTTCAGCAATGCCACATAATTGCTGTGTTTTACATACATATTTTGACATCATAATTGTTACCATTATTCAAATGATAAGGTTTTCAGAATAATGCTCCAGAGTGCTCCACATTTTTAATATGCTTTACTTCGGAACGTACTTCCGTTCTTTAAGCGACAATAGTTAGGCTTAAGTAAAGGAAATATTCATTTATTACTTTAGTAATTGGAAAAACGGTACTCTTGGGATTTTCATTATTTGGCATGTTAACAAATAAATTTGATTCCATTGAAGTTTTAAAATTGCTTTGAAAATGCCTGTCAATCAGTCATACACGTCTTCCACCATATTTTACCTTCTGGTGAGACTGTTTGTAATGAAGGCTTTTTTTAGCAATATGTAAGCTACATTTGCCCTCCTATAAACCAAAACGCAGTATGGGGCACTTGAGTAGTCTGCGAATGCTGTAATTTTATCTTAGAGACATTCCCCATTTTAATTTTTATGCCAATTATTTCGTTAGTAAAAGATTTTGTAAAAACATAGCATATCTAACTTAATTTGAATAAAAAAAAAAATCAATTTGACAAGATACTACTTATTTTAGGATGTATTGTCCCACTTCAAACCTAGTACCTTCTGCTGCTGTCTATACAGATGCCTTGACAAACCATGAAGGGAAAAAACGTAGTTGTTAATATATATAGGCCCTACATACCATTACTGCATGGCGGTTTATAGTTTACCTCTTTATGTAAACACTATTTGAACAATATACATATAGGGCCTACAAACTGGAACCCACATAATGCAATTAATAATTAATTATAAGCGTAATAGTAGAAGAATTGGATTTTTTGAAAATGAAAAAAAGTACTTCCGTTCTTTAAGCGACAATAGTTAGGCTTATGTAAAGGAAATATTCATTTATTACTTTAGTAATTGGAAAAACGGTACTCTTGGGATTTTCATTATTTGGCATGTTAACAAATAAATTTGATTCCATTGAAGTTTTAAAATTGCTTTGAAAATGCCTGTCAATCAGTCATACACGTCTTCCACCATATTTTACCTTCTGGTGAGACTGTTTGTAATGAAGGCTTTTTTTAGCAATATGTAAGCTACATTTGCCCTCCTATAAACCAAAACGCAGTATGGGGCACTTGAGTAGTCTGCGAATGCTGTAATTTTATCTTAGAGACATTCCCCATTTTAATTTTTATGCCAATTATTTCGTTAGTAAAAGATTTTGTAAAAACATAGCATATCTAACTTAATTTGAATAAACAAAAAATCAATTTGACAAGATACTACTTATTTTAGGATGTATTGTCCCACTTCAAACCTAGTACCTTCTGCTGCTGTCTATACAGATGCCTTGACAAACCATGAAGGGAAAAAACGTAGTCGTTAATATATATAGGCCCTACATACCATTACTGCATGGCGGTTTATAGTTTACCTCTTTATGTAAACACTATTTGAACAATATACATATAGGGCCTACAAACTGGAACCCACATAATGCAATTAATAATTAATTATAAGCGTAATAGTAGAAGAATTGGATTTTTTGAAAATGAAAAAAAAAACCTCAGACTGCTACAATTATATCATTATATGATAAGTTATATATATATATATATATATATATATATATATGTATATGTATATATATATATATATTTATATGTATAAGTAGATAGGATAAATGTAGGATAAACCTACAAACAGCAACCCACATAATGCAACTAATAATTAATTATAAACGTAATAGTAGAAGAATTGGATTTTTTGAAAATGAAAAAAAGAACCTCAGACTGCTTGGTGTACTTTTAAATTTTCGATTTTGTCTATAATTCTAGTGATACCAACTCTATACACCACAGGGTACTACGGGGCTAATTAAAGAGAAATGCCACCGGTGTACTATGTTTACACAGTTATGGTCAGATGAATAAGAAATAATAAAGTAAATTTACGAGCCTCTTTGAGTATGTTTATTGACGCCACACACTCGATTTAATCAATTTAACTTTGAACAAAATAAATAACTTGAATATTGACCAGTAAATTTAATTATATCCTAATGATGCATAGATTATTTACCAATCGACACGCACGCTTTGTTATGACGGCTCTTGAACTTTATTATGTTAAGAGAAACTTTTTAATTTGTTTCTCTTGTGCTAACCAGAGGGACTGGGCAATTGTTCTGTTTTTAAACCAATCTATTACGATAATGACCACCTTTAGTATTTATAGCAGCCTTTGAGGAAGGTGTTTATAAATTCCTGTGCTATAAATACCTTGTTTTGCCTAAAAAATTAATTAAAACATTTCAGAAAATAATAACACAACGATAGAGTCACCAAGAATTATTTGCATTTTCATGACTTTCTTCATTTTTTATCAATAATAAAATAAACAATGTTATTTTCAGTTTAAATCAGACATTACCCATGGGCATAACTTGCCCGTAAAATATGATCATGTTGGTGTTACTATAAGACATTATCCCCGCTTGAAACTTAATAAATGTCAGAAGGAAATGCTTTTTTATTATACAAATATCTCACGGGATTTTTGACAACGATAGCAAACAATTTAGTATATTCATGAAAATGTGCAAAACCTCATTTCATCGATGTACGCTTTAAAATTGTCTGAATTCATAACTTATTGTATTAGTCTAGAATATTCAGGGATTTTAATTAGGAGGAAGACACCCTGGGTATTTAGCTGCTATATTAGTGTATTTCCTAACACTATCTTCTTTCTAATCTGTTTGAATAATTAATGAGTGGACAAAAATATACCGTACTAAAGAGAAATTTTTTCTTCCGGCCAAAATACAAAATATTGACGACTAATATCAATGAAATGTCTTAATGAATCTTACGATCATGTCTTAAATGTACATGTACATATACTGTATATATATCGGCTACACGCCATGTATATTTTTGACCAATATTTTGTAAAGATTTACCCTTCCAAATTTTAAGGAACTGATCGTTTAGGGCCCTCGATATTTTAATAAAAACAAAATTAATGAAAATTTATAAAAAAAAAAGTGGACAGTATTTTCAGTCTGCTAAAATAATACCATCTTTCCTTTCTCTTTTCTATTTGAGCCTTAAGTTCAAGTGCTGAACTTCCAGGGCAGACAGCGCTGACATGCTATTGTCTAATTTGATTACGATATTCAGTCAACA